AGTTCATAGTCTTCTCCTATGATGTGATCCATCATCCTGTTCTTCCACCAAGAATAGTACTGACCATTAAAAAGTGGAGGCCTAGCATTGGATTGCCCTTCCTAGTTTTCAGGTGGTGCACTTNCAGAAACGATGAAGGTTGACCTACTGTCATGGCCTCAAGGAGATCACCCGAGGTGTTCTGTTCAGGCAAAGGAACTTTGATATTTTAAGCGTCAATACCACACAGGAGGGGGGTGATTTGTGTGGTACCCAATTTTCACTATAGAAGAACCTGGTTCTTCTAGGTGTTCTAACTACTACTGTTTGCGGAATAATAAGTACATAAAATAAAGAACACAAAGATTTTTACGTGGAAAACACCTGGCTCAAAAGGTGAAAAAACCACGACCTACTACTTAGTAAGATTTTCCCAAACTTTCACTAAAATCACTAAGCTAAAACAACATTTACAAAAACTCTTTGTAAACCTAAGGATTAACTCTAATCTCGTTATGGCACACAACCTCAACTGTTGCGACAACTTCAAGTTAACTCTAACTTAAAAACTCTAGGTACCTAATACAACTACTTCTATAAAAGCTGAAAGGTACAGCTTTAAACTACCTACTACAATTGAACTAAAGTAAAAGATAGACACAATGGAACTGGTTCTTCTATCTCGTTCAAGTAGCTTCAAGAGTGCACACTCAAATTACACATAAATTGCTTGCAAAATCGCCTTGCTTTTTGCTCTCAATTTAGTTTCACTTATGCGTATGTGCAATACCTGTAAAAGAGAACAATCACTATCATTTAACAGGTTAATAATCAGAGTTTGATTGGGACTCAATTGCTGAACTTCTACCGTAGAAGAGTTCATGATGATCACAAACTCTAACACTATCTTTATCCTGGATCATGTTCTCTTCATATAAGGAGACTTTCTCCCCTTATCTAATATGCAACCTTTCGATCAGATCAGGAGATATTGTTGCTTGATCAGTAGGACTTATCTCCTTCACGTGCATCTCACATGCATAGATTGATCATGACTGTGTTTCACAAGATGGACCTGATCCATGACTGAGTCCATTTGTCATTCTTCAAAACTTCACCTGTTCTTGGGCCAACAGCCTACTAGTGAAAGCTAGGCAAGCCAACCATTACCGTAACAATTTAATATTAGTACTAGAAAAAAAATCCATAAACCAAAAGCTACCCGGATCTGGTGTCACAATTTCACGCACTGTCTAAAAATACTACAAATAAGGGTCCGAAAGATAAATACAAGTTTCAGAAAAACATAAAAGAAACAGAATTGAAAGATAGAAGGAGACGCCAAGGCCTGCGAACGCCTGCAGGACTACCTCAGGTCGCCTGATGGACTGAAGTAGCAATCTCATTGTGATCCAAAAGTTGCAGCACTGGGATCTGCACATAGTGCAGAGTGTAGTATCAGCACAACCGACCCTATGTGCTGGTAAGTGCCTAGCCTAACCTCGGCGAAGTAGTGACGAGAGTAGGACAAGACTACCAAATATATTTGTGCAGTTAAATCATATACAACGGAAAAGTAAAGGCAGAAATTTACAGTTAAGGATGGGAGGGGGAAACATGCTGCGGGGAACAACAAGTAACAACAGAAAGACAGCAGATAAATGTGAAGAACACCATAATTCAATTATCAACAAGAATTAGAAATCAAAGACAAGTTCACGGCATCACCCTTCGTGCTTTTACTCTCGTCCTCACTATAAGAATCGATATAATTGGTACGGCATCACCCTTCGTTCTTTTACCTCACATAATCATGGCACAGAATTATCCTTCGTGCATTATCACTCATATCATGGCACGGCATTGTACATCGTGCGGCACGACATCACCCTTCGTGCTTTTACCTCACAATATTGGCACGACATCACCCTTCGTGCATTAATACTCTCAAAAATCATACACGGCATTACCCTTCGTGCTTTATACTCTTCCTCACCCAAACAACAACCACAAAGCAGGGCAAGGGAATTAATAATATTTCCAAAAAAAATCCCGGCAAGGGAACAATAGCATAACAACAATATCCCTGCAAGGGAAACAATATCATGAATAATAACATCTCGGCTAGGGAGATAATATCAAAAGTAATAACATCCCAACAAGGGATACAATATTATAAACCTCTTCTCTTTTCCACATTTACTTCACAACTCAATTCTCAACTTGAGTCAACACTCTACATTGTCCAATTACCAATAATACTTTCGCAAGCATTGTTCAACAATAGAAATTATCATGTAAAGCATGAACAATACGAAACGGAGTCACATTAATCATAGTATAAGACTCACGGACATGCTTGACACCAACGTATAGATACTCATCACCATGTCTATACGTCGTACTTAACAATAAACACATAGCAAATAAGATACAACTCCTAATCCCTCAAGCTAAAGTTAGACCAAACACTTACCTCTATGCCACAAACACAATTCAAGCCTCAACTATCGCTTTATCTCTTGTTTTCACCACCAATTCACTTGTATCTAGTCACAATTTACTTAACTATATCAATAAATGTTAAATGAATCAATTCTAATGCATGAAAATAGGTTTTTCAATGATTTCCCCAAAAAATCAAAAATTGACCTCGGGCCTACATGGTCAAAACCCAAGGATTGAACCAAAACCCGATTACTCATTCACCCACGAACCCAAATATATAATTTGTTTTGAAATCGGATCTCAAATCGAGGTCCAAATCCCCAAAAATTAAAAATCTTAAGTTCTACTCGAAACACCCAATTTCCCCCATGAAACCCTTGATTTTGAGTTGAAATCATGTAAAAAGATGTTATAGATTAAAGAAAATGAGTTAGAAATGACTTACAATTGATTTGGAGAAGAACTTTTCTTTAGAAAATCGCCCAAGAGCGTTTAGGTTTTGAGAAAGTTTGAAAAATGAAGAATTTTCGGCTAAGTTATGATTTAGCAAGTCGCAGATAACGCAATTGCGACCAAAGTTCGCAATTGCAACCAGGGTTCGCAATTTGGAATCTACTATCTTCGCAATTGCGAAGAATCTGTCGCATTTGCGACCAAGGAAAAATCCGGTCTTGCGAAGGTAACATCGCATTTGCGGAAAGAAGGGCTTCGCAATTCCCACCATGGGTTCGCATTTGCGAAAAGGGCCTACCCAGTCTTAGGTCACTTTTGCGATGCCTGGGTCACAATTACCAAGCTGGAGAACTTCGCAATTGATAAGCCTGATCTCGCAATTGCGAGATCAGAGGCCTGGGCAAAAATACTAGATACCAACACTTGTTCCTAAGTCCAATTTCACTCCGTGGCCTATCCAAAACTCATCCGAGCCCTCGAGGCTTCAAACCAAACATGTACACTAACCTAAAAACATACGGACTTGCTCATGCAATCAATCATCAAAATAACATCAACAACTATGAATTAAACCCCAAATTCATGAAATCATTCAAGAACACCAAAATTTTTAATTTCTTAACTTTAGGTCCGTTTTATACCAAACCAATTCTGATCTTTACCAAATTTTACAGATTCAACCTAATTATTATTTCAAACTTGTATCGGGCTCCGGAATCAATACGGGCCTGATACCATTAATTTCAAACATCTTTTCATTTCCAAAAACTCTTATATTTTTCAGAAAATAATTTTCTTTAAAAATTCATTTCTCGGGCTTGGGACCTCTAAATTCGATTTCGAGCATATGCCCAAGTCCCAGATTTTACTACGGGCCCTACGAGATCCTTGGATCACGGGTCCGGGTCCGTTTACCAAGAATCTTGACCAAAGTCAACTTTATTCAATTTTAAAAGTTAATTTCCTTATTTCACTTAGTTTTCATATAAAAGCTTTATGGAAACGCGACAGAATTTACTTGCAACACAAGTGATGATCTTTTGGATCATCATATAATGTCTCATATATGATCATTGATTTATGTCTCATGCATGATCATTGATTTACACTCACTTACAAATGTTGTATATATTATTTGGATCGTTGCATTCATCACATAAATTGGTTAAGTATTTTAACTCATATTAAGTTAATAATCATCATACTTTAACTTTTTCTAGATATTCTGACTACATAATGTTCGGCACCCCTATCTGTCCAATATGAGCGTGTTTGACCAAATTCTCAAAATTTATTTTTATGTTTTGAGCTGTTTAAGCTTCCAATAGTATTTCTTACTGATTATTGCATAAATAAAACAATTTATGTTTTGCTTGTGAGAAAAACTTGTGAAATTGTAGTAAGTATAGATCTCGAATAAATATTAAGTTGAAAATATTAACTAAAATGGTTGAGGACTTCTACTATTATTGTTTTTTCTTTTATTGAGTTAGCTAAATAGGTTCAACAATTATTATTTTTAGGAACTTACACTTTTTTCTTTGACTTTTATTTTATAACTCAAACATATTTTGTTAATATAACGTTTATATGACTTTTAAAATTATGTATTTATTAAGACAGAATACACGTGCAACGCGCGCATTCTTAAGATTAGTTTAATTGAAAGAGGAGGTGTAGTATTTGTTATGCAATTTCAGGAAATATTTTAGTACTCCCTCTGTTCCAATTTATGTGAACCTCTTTGACTGGACACGGAGTTTAAGAAAAAAATGAAGACTTTTGGAATTTGTGGTCCTAAACAAGTCCAAATGGGGCCCAGAGTATTTGTGTGGTTATAAAAGCTTCTCGTTAACAAGTAAAGTTGTAACTTTAAGCTAAATTGTTACCAAATTTAGAAAGGGATCATTCTTTTTGGAACGGACCAAAAAGGAAATAGGTTCTTAGAAATGGTAGTTTAGGGGTACGAATGGGAGTTTAGGTGTAGGGAACACTGGCAGTTTAGAAAATCTATTACGTGCTTGGGGTTAAAATAGTAATTCAACTCAGCCCTTGAAATTTACCTAGACACGTGCACTGCATTTTAAGATAAAAACCACTAAGAAAAGAAAAACCACTGACAAACCCACTCCCTCACTTTCCAATATTCCATTGTTCCTCTCCACACTCTTCATTTTCGGAGACCAAAAAGATCTTTCCGTCTATACTTACTGTAAATCACCATGGACGCTTGTGTGCAAGTTTCAGTAATTCGTTCAGCAATCTAAAGATCACCTGTTCAAAACATTGCAACCTGATCTGTTGGAATGTGGATTCTGTCGACTTCTGTCAAGCAACTCTGCAACAACAAGCATGACCCGGTGCTCCTTCTCTGGCATCCGCACTCATTTTCCTGAAGAATTCTTACATGTATGTCAATTAGCCACATTCCCAACTCTCTCCCTGTTCAGTTTTATTTGTTTATTCAATATCCTAAATAGGATTAGGTTTTATGGCTATAAATTTTGCTTATTACTAAGTCATGCAACAAAAATTATGCCGATTGGTTTGATATGATTCAAAATTTCAAAAGGGCAAATGAATCGTCATATTCTTCCCAGATTCAATTCGGGAAAGAACTCTAAAGAAGAATGTTAATTTTTACATTATGAATGAGCGTGTCTCTGAATGTAATTGACAAATTCAAATATATTTGATGATACATTTTTGTTCTCTCAGGGAATCCGACAGAAGATCAATGTAGTGCGACCCTTAGAAACCATTTGGTTAGGTAAAATAGGGAACTTCCCGATCAAGAGAAAAGATGACGGTATAATATGAATTTACTTCGTTCAATGGGGTCTTTCTGCAAGTTAAATATTAATAGTAATTCACTCAAAAAGTAAAATGAAGTTAAAAAATTAATTGTGCTGAAGAGTTCTACATTTCGGTATATTAATGTTTAACAATTTAGGTTTATGAGTTAGTATCACGTTCAACGTAAGTCAACAACAACATACCCAGTATAGGGTAGTGTGTATGCATACCCCTATCTGACGAGGTAGAGAGGTTGTTTCCTATCGACCCTCGGCTTAACGTAGTATGATACTCTGGACTAAATAGACGCCTTTTTAATAAACTTTATAGAACTCTTATTCACTCATTTTTGTACCAAGTTTTAATACTCCCTCTGGTTCACAATAAGTGACCAATTTGCTTTTAGCACGCTCATTAAGAAAATACTAAATTCTATTCAAAAATACCTACTATGACTAAACTACCCCTAATTAAGCATTTAATGTGAGAAGTAAGAAAACTTTTTAGGGATATGAACATGGGGTTTATTTTGTAAAAACAAATTGAATTCTTTCTTGATTACATAACTAGACACTTATTTTGAACCAAAATGAAAAAGCAAATTGGTCACTTATTGTGAACCGTAGGGAGTACCTGAAGTTTTTCCTTTCAGATCAATATCATCTTTTTCATCATCCATCTGTCTGCTTAGATTCTTATGTTATTTTATATTTTCTAGCATATGGCTCGAGAAATTGGCATGTTCTCGAAGTGACTGAAACTTTGTGGTTGCTTCAGTTGTGAGTGAAAATGCAAACCACGTTTCTCGGCCCTCCTGTACCAATTTTATATGGATCTATCTAAATACCAAAAAATTTCTTTCCAGGAATTTTCTTTGGCTTATTAAGTGCCTGGTGCACTAGTTGTAGCAAAGAAGAACAAGGTATACATTCTACAGCACAATACAACTATTGAACGATTTAGCTTTTAGGAAAGAAAGTCTAATGGTCGAAACGGTTTAAGTTCTTTTTATTTTGCAAAAACCACTTCAAGTAGTTTTAGCAAGAAGGGGAGTCCCACCAAAAGCAGTAGCAAGAACAAATCTGATAAGGAAAGAGCTGAAACTTCGTTATGATAAGCCCAGTTGAGGAGGTAAAGACTCTTCAAGAGAGCCCCTTCAGCTGAAGAGGTAAAGACTCTTCAAGAGAGCCCCTTGAGCTGAGGAGGTAAAGACTCTTCAAGAGAGCCCTTTGAGCAGAAGAAAAGCAAACAAGATTGGAAAGACACACGTCTACCCTCAATGCACCAAGCAAGCAATGATATGATGCCTTTTCCTTGCCTAAATGTCTAAATAAAAGGTATAGCAAGTAATACTATCAATTATATGTGGTCATATTGACCATTCTATTCTATTTAGTCCACAGGCAAACCAAACAATTTGATTCTAGATGTTGCGATTGTTGATAATTGGCTGATGTGGAGTATGTTAAGGGTATCTACAAGTTAATTGGTGATGTATGGTAATTTTTACTTTCTCTATTCCTATTTAAGTTTCCAATTCCATAATTAGTGAAGATAAATATTTGGGCTTCTAATAACTGTTGTCAAATTAGAGCAATATGGAAAATACAAGGGATTAAGTAGATGACTGTGAAACATCAGAAAATAGTAGAAAGAAATATACACTAGCTGATCATCTACAATTGTGGTGCCGGTATTAGATATGCTCTATGCTGAGCTCATTCTTAGATTCTTTCTCCTTTTCTCAATTGCATTAAGTACTGTTAATGTGAATTCAAACCAATTGGAGCGTCACCTTTTCACTTCCATTTTACTTGATCCTTCTGCTCTATTTCTTGGTTTTATTTATGCATGAGGTAAAGTGTTATGACATTCAAATCTGCTCCTATATTTTATAGTTGATAAAAAATTATGATTAGATGGAAATGTGAATAAAGGATAACGTGAAAGAAAACTTGTGATAGGTTCTATCACCAATTTCATTTTTGGTAAGTCTCTCTCTGCGCATACTTACCTACTTAATGTAGTCATTGTTGTTCAATTCACTAATCCTCTCTTGGCTTTGATAAAGTATCAACGATGATAGCATTCTTATTTGTAGCGTCTCAGGAAATTTAGAAGTCTGACCAAATTTTTATTTACCAAAGTTTTAACATTCTTTCCTACATGTTGATTTCTGAGGAAGGAAATATATATTAAGTGAATGAAGGATATGCCTATAACTAAGATGGTCCAATATCCATTTTTGTATAATAAATGTGATAAGCTCCCGATTTCATTATTTATGATGTCTTAGTGTTCTTCAAAGAAAGATTCTAGTTTAGTAGTATGTTCAAAATGTTTCTTTGCTTTACCACAGTATTGTGTACAAGTTCCAACTTTTAGGCTTATGGTATAGTACTGAGTTGTAATTTGACATTTCTGAAAATGCATGTTTGTAGGGAGGAAGGAAGGGGCTTAACTTGGAGGAAGAGAATGATGATAGCCAATGGTAGAAGAAGAGGTTGAGGCCAAGATCTAAGGATTTGGGCCTGTAAAATCATGTCCAGATGAAAATATCATGTGTTAGCAGTCAGATAGATGACGGTTTGAGTCTTTTTACTGGTGTCTACAGGTAAGGTGTGTTATATGCTGCTGGACCTGTAATTGAGAAAAGTAAAGTTTATCATCATATTATCATTAGGTGGTTAAGCAGAGTCTCAAGATACTTGATACCTCATCTTAGTTTGAAGTATGCAAAAGTATTCTATTTCAATATGATCCATTTCCTCACTAATTTCTGAACTTTTAGTTTTGCTAAATGTTGGCAAGGCCTAGCTTTAATGAAGAGGCATTAAGGAAGTTATAGATGCTATATACTCTTAATGAAGAGATGTAACATGGAAATGAATGTAAAGGGGGACAAGTTTGCCCCTTTAATTACAATTTTTTTTTGTACATTAATGCTGATATAAAGATGGGGCAAACTTAAGCTTCCTTTGAGTTAATGTTGTTTGATACTTTAGAGCTTTCATCAACAAATGAGACGCCTTAATGTCTCTGTAATGTGTCATATTAGCACATGGACGTTGATATTGTTTGTAAATATTTGCACATGTTATTTGTTCAAATGTGTTGTTCTCTGATGCTAAGCACACCATAACTAACATTGCAGGTGTTGCTAGCTTTTAGCACTCCCTTGTGTTAAATATACAGTGGCCAAGGAGTTGAGAGATGATATTGTAAATTTCTTTGTTATATTATACTTTCAGTATGTTGCAAGTGTTAACTCGTAAATCTCATTGTAGACTGTATCCTCATTCTATAAATTGTATAAATTTCAGTGTTTCTAAGCTGAAGACATGAAATTCTTATGTGCTCATTCTACAAGTTGTATGATTCCAAATGTTTCATGTATTGAGACTATCAGAAACTCTACAAAAATATTTTATTTAACTAGCATGTTGGGCCCGTGCTGGCACGGGCTTCTCTTTACTAGTTATATTTAGAAGATATAGATGTTGTCTTCCATTGCGGAACCTAACGTTTTCCTTGTTTAGTTGTTGAGATCTTTTAGGTAGAGTATGTTGTATAAATGGCAATTATCAAAAGGAATTTTTATATTCCTATGCCACATAGGAAACCTTATTACCCTCAATATTTAAGGTTTGACTTAATTATACTTAGTATACCAAATTACCAATTCTATACCATAATTAATTAAGGGTATAATTAATTGTACATTATTTACTCCTTAATTAAAGGAATCTGCACGTTTCTCTCTCCTAACCCCTCAGTCCCACCCACGTTTTAACATTTTCCATCTTCTGAAACTAAATTCTCCATCTAAATTCACAGAAAATTGAAGATTTTTAAACCGAACAGTATTCACAAACGTGAAGGCGAAATGTGCACTACGAATGTGAAACAAAAGCAACAGAAGCATAGGAACAACAAGCTTCGCGCAACAACATCATGATATTTCAGATTTGGGTTTTCAAATCAAAATCGCTACAAATCCACCATTGATATCCATTAAAAAAGCTTTGAAGCTCTGAATTCAAATTTGGATTTTCAAAAATCATTATTTGTTTTGATTGGGTGTTGTTGTAAATAATTGGGAATATGTTTTGGAGTTTATATCTCAATTTTGAGGGATTTTGGTGAAGATTTAGACTTGGTTTTGGCTGAATTTCAGATTGAAACTCGAAGAAGAAGAAGACATATTGCAGAAATTGTAGATAAATTGTAGATAAATTGTAGTTACAGTTGGATTGATCAGAATTTGAACTAAATACATCTTCGCCGCCGTTGACGGTTTCCGACGAGGAAACTCCTCTATTCTCTACTTCTCAATTCTCCATTTCTTATTTTTACTTCTATTTTACTTTTTCTATTTCTAATCTGGGTTTCTTGATTTCGCACACTTTATACACACATTTGATACAACAAAAATATGAAGTAGTTACAGTTTGATTGATCAGAATTTGAAATAAATAAAAGAGATTTTTACATATTATGCCACATATATTTCAAATTTTATGGAAGTCTGATTTTATGGTAATATCTATAAAATTTCTACATTTATCTACAAATAAACTACACATCAGTTTTAGGATGTATAAAGCAATATTATTTTCATAATTATCTACAAAATTACTACATTTATACTACAATTAAACTACAATCTATGTTGAAAAAATGTTGACTACAAATTTTTTCTCTTCATCTACAAATTTTCTACAAATATACTACAAATCAGTTTAAGTATGTATAAAACAATATTATTTGTAAGGGTATCTACATAATTACTATATTTATACTATAATTAAACTACAATCTATGTTGAAAATCTACAAATTATCTACAAACTGAGTACATTGAATTTTAATATCCCAATTCCCATTCAATTGTAGCATAATTGGGATTTTTGACATAATTGCGTTTTTTTCAGAAGATTTGTAGAAGTTTTAGTCGTTTTTTATTTGTGAAAACAGAAAATAAAGCATCTACAATTAGAACACAAATAATCTACAATTTATCTACAAAATATCTACAATTTATGCAATATGTCTTCTTCTTCTTCGAGTTTCAATCTGAAATTCAGTCAAAACCAAGTCTAATATTCACCCAAAACCCCTCAAAATTGAGATATAAACTCCAAACCATATTCCCAATTATTTTCAACAACACCCAATCCAAACAAATAATGATTTTTGAAAACCCAAATTTGAATTCAAAGCTTTCAAGCTTTTTAATGGCTGTCAATGGTGGATTTGTAGCGATTTTGATTTAATGACGAACTGAGATTTTGATTTGTAGCGATTGTGAGAAAAAAACAGAACATAATTTGATTATAAATTGAAGATAAATGATTTCCGTGATATGATTTGATCTCCTTTCCGTTTCAAAACTTGAATTTAATGTAGAATCAATCAATCCCAAGATTCTTTCCTGGTTTTTCGCACGTTATTAAGGGAAGATTCTGCCCTATTAATTCTTAATAAACGAATGATACAGAAATTGTAGGAAAAATATGGACTAGGCGGGTAATTTAGATACTATGCACATATTTGATAATAAGGTTTCATATATGGTATAGGAAGAAAAAAATCCACTTATGAGAAATTTGTTGAAACGGCAATATGATTATCAATTGGAAGTTCAGTGAAGTTGATGGAATATAAAATAGTACCATATAATAACTAGATTATGTTAGTTTGCTGTTATTCAAAAAGTTGGTGGAAGGATCTCCCTGGTTTGGTTTGTTCAAGAAACTCCCTCTCGTCTTTTGAAAAGAAAACCGAGTCTTAGTGGGTTTTACATGTGTATTAGTATAGCATGACGTGGTATTTGCAGATTCATAAAATAACCTCACTTAGTTAGACTTTATTATTTTAATCACAAAAAAGATAATTTTACATTGTACATAGGATCGGAAAACTATCGACCTAAATAACACCCTGCTATTAAATCCAAAAATTCTAACAATTCGCCAGGACTTATGATAAGACATGTTTTGCTCATCAATCAGGAAACCCTGGTTTTGTTAAGATTTATCAAGTCTTGGCTGTAAAGTTACTCTTATTAGAAAAAATTAAATGAGTTCAAAACGTAAATAATGGCACTAAAGATCCTATTTGTGCAAATCACCTTGTACCCGCGCCTAAGGTCGGCCAAGTAAAAAGTTAAGTTCTCTTAAAATATACCTCCTTCGATAAAAAATAAAAGATATTACTACTGTACTAGGAATTAATCGTTACTTTTTTGGCATGATTTTTCATATTTTTTGAAACTACTAAAAAACTATGATTTTAAGGAACCTCTAAATGTATAAGGTTGCTCCAAAAAAATTAAGAAACGGATATCTAAATTCTTACCAAAATTAGATGTATTAAATTTGTAATTAGAATCCTATCATTCTTCTTAGGATAGAAAGAGTACAATAAAAGGCAAAAAGCAGATCAGCATTTCATTGGGCGGTATATCACAGATAATGGGGAGAAATTAAAAAATAGATAGATTTACAAGTGATAATTAAAAAATAGCCATAGTTTGAAAAGTAATTAAATTTTAGTTACTTTTTATGTAAAGATAAATTTGAACAAAAACATTGTTCAAAATTCGGAAAATATTCCAGCATAATATACTGGAGTTCCAGTATAATTATACTGGACTTCCAGCATAATATATTGGAGTTCCAGTATAATATACTTGTCCAACATAAAATGCTGGAAGTTCATACACAGATGCTCCAATCTCCAATATGTTATGCTGGAACTTTCCTTGTGTTGGAGTTCCAGCATAATATGTGGAAGTTCATACACAGGTGCACCAATCTCCAATATATTATGCTAGAACTTTCCGTATTGTAGCAAAATAGTGGTTATTTTTGAATGACTTTACAAATGCTGGCTATTTTTTAATTACCAGTCCGAAAACTGGCTAGCCCGTTCTATTTTCACCGGATAATGTCTTGTTAGGTACGACTAGTGGTCAATTACACTCACGCTTAAATAGTCGATGGGCCTTAGAAAATACATAAACATATTTTTTGTATATAAAATATAATGGGCCAATTCTTATATGGGTAACAACTCCTCTCTGATATGGGCTTACGAGCTAGATCTTCACTTTTGAAGAATTAACCACAAAAATCTGCTCACTCAACCGTTTAAATTAAAAATAGCTAGAGAATATATAGTATATGTAGAATTCATGCATAATATATTTATAATCGTATATAATCAGTACACAATTTACATATACCAGCTGAGAAAGTAAACAGTGAAACAGATTGGCTATTTGTATAAAGATCCTTTTTGTTTTGAAGATGAAAATCATTTCTTTCTTGACGTTTGGTTGAAAAAGAAATTTATTTTGCGAAAATCTTTTTTTCAATTTTTTTAACAAAAGGCCATTTAAACACTTTTACCCCGTAATGACGAGACGGACGGTGAAACAAAACGTAATATTAAGGTCTTGAATTCGATGTTCCTTCTTCAAAGTTGGATAACTAGGTGAAGCCATAATTTTATACAAATATGATCAGCAGCAATTTTTGCTGTTTGCTGTTTCTTTGGTTGGGGAAGTAGTTGGATATGTTTGAAGAACATGCTCATCTAATTTAGTTTACAACATTGTTTTGAAAAACTATAGCGATAGTCAGTTCTCTTCAACACCCCATATCACGAGAAAATTAGTATGTACCCTTCCATTGTGGCAATATTTTAAAGATTTTGTCGACAATTGTCATAATCAAAAGCCAAATGGCATCCCTTGTAGAAGTCATTAGAAAGATGATAAAATACCTTGGTAAAGTGACAAATTCCATCGGCCACTTTCTTGCCATGCACAACAAGTCTTCATGCAATGAGGCTATAAATAACCATAACCAATCACTCATTTCTCATCAATTATCATCACCAAGAATGGAATAATTCATGAAGTAACTCCGCCTTATTCACCAGAGTCAAATGGAGTAGTTGAAAGAAAAAATAGAACATTGAAAGAGATGATGAACTCTATGTTAGTTAGTTCTAATGCTCATGATAATCTGTGGGGTGAAGCTATTTTATCTGCATGTCACTTACAAAATAGAATACCACATAGAAGAACAGGTAAAACACCTTATGAATTGTGGAAGGGTTATAAATCTAATTTGAAATATTTAAAAGTGTGGGGGTGCCTTGCTAAAGTTCTTTTGCATGAACCTAAAAGGAGAAAAATAGTTCTAAAACTGCTGATTGCATGCTTATTGGATATGCTGAACATAGTGCTGCATATAGATTCCTTGTTTTAAAAATTGATGTGCTTGATTGCAATACTATAATTGAGACAAAGAATGTTGAGTTCTTTCAATATATTTATCCATTATGTGAT